CCCTGCTCCTTTCTCGGGATTACTCAACTTACATTTTTCACCTAGCAGAAACCACATCCAAAGGCTAAAATTAGAAGCTGGAGGGTACTTGTAAAATGTATCTCACTTTCCCTATACAAATCAGTAAGAAAAAGAAGCCCACAGACAAAATAGAGAAGTTGTCAGTTTACGAGAGAGAGAGAGAGAGAGACAGAGACAGAGACAGAGACAGAGATATTACAGGTCATGTTTTGCCTATCAGATTGGCAATGTTTGGGAAAAGCTCATTGGCACTCAATGCTTGTGATATGAGAACATCAGTCAGGATGATTTTTCTAAAATACAGTCTGCATGGAGATCGATATTTAAGGTGTGTGTGTGTGTGTGTGTGTGTGTGTGTGTGTGTGTGTGTGTGTGTTGCTTTTTTGTTTGCTTCTTTAGACATAATTTCGCTATGTCACTTAGACCAGCCCCCAACTCAAGACTCTCCCATTTCAGAATGCTGGCATTGTAGATGGGTTCTACCACACCGGGCTCGAAGCATCCATGCTGTCGGTTCATTTGGTTTGATTTGGGTTTGCACGAAAGTACCTATAAACCACCATGTGGTTTTGTAGCTCTTGGTAGGTTAACTTGACAATAAAGTCTTTATTGCAGCTTGTTGTCAAAATTGTGTTCAAGAAGATACAAGAAGAAAAGCCAGGAGGAGTTCAACCGTGTGTGTTGTGATGAACTCAGCAGGCAGGAGACAGGATGCTCTGTTCCCCACAGGGCCAGGGACCCAGTGAGTCAAGCTCACCCCTTGCTGTCAGTAGCTAGAAATAAGGACAGTCACTACATCTGCTTCCTGAACAGACCGGTTCCTGGGACCTAGGCCCGGAGGTCAGCTGTTCCTCCACCGCATACCTTCAAAGCCCACACGAGGCAGCCAGCTCCTCTGTCACGGTACAGGAGACTGACCAAGCTGTCCTCACTTGTGTGCAATTGTCCCTGAAAGTGGCACTGGGTGTTCAGGGTGGGGAAAGGAGGGGGGAGGGGGGAGGTCGGGGCTGGTCTTTTTTGGACTTGAATAATGTCAAATTTGAAGCCAGACATCTAGGCCATTATGAAGGTGCATTTGTAAAGGTGAAATATTCCATTTACAGCCAGGATGGCATGATTTCTAACTTCTAAGGAAGTTAGATGGATGCTCTGTTGGCATTTATTTGTAGTCTTAACTTCACAGTGTTATAGATAGGGTCTGAAGACTGAGAACAAAACTCTCTCTGTCTCTCTGTGTCTCTGTCTCTCTCTGTGTCTCTGTCTCTCTCTGTGTCTCTCTCTCTCTCTCTGTGTGTGTATGTGTGTGTGTGTGTGTGTGTGTGTGTGTATTCTCTATTCATAATGAGAGAAGAACAAAATAAGTTATTTTGCTTGACATGGTGGCTCGTGCCTGCAACCCTAGCATGCAGGAGGCCAAAACAAGATTTCCCTATGCCTGAGGCTTGTCTCAGCTATGGAGCAAGGGCCTGTGTCAACACATAAGTGAATGAATAAATAAAAAAGGACACGTTATTTTAGAAGTAGCCATGGCTGCCGGCCAGCAGATACTTCTCTTCCATTGTACGGACTGGAGAGTATCCCCATTTTTAGTTCACTGAAGGCATTGCCCTGAACACTGCGCAAGGTCAGACAAGCAACATTTTAAAACAGGAACGGCAATACAAAAGGTGCTGCTGTCCAGAGACCCGCACTATTCACATTTTCCTAAGTCTCCCTGTAGCGTTTCTCCACACACTGTTTAAAACAGGGTTGAGATCATACTTTATATATAATTTTATGATCATCTCTTTTTTCCTTTGGCTAAATATCACACTGAACATTTTTTGCATGTCCTTACAAACTCTTTTTAAGGAGAAAAAAAATCTTCATAGGTGCAGAATGTGCTAGCTTATGGAGTCTTATAGTCTACTTAAGCATTCCCAGTTATTAGGTATTCAGGTTGCTTACAGGTATTTTTAACCTAATGTGAGTAAATCTGAAATGGGTGTGACTACTTACAAGTTCTCATCTGCATTCTTGTTTATTTCCTTAAGACAGACTCGCAGTAGAGAATGCACTGGGTAAGAGGGTATGGACACATTTAAAGACCTTTGAGACATATCAAATTCCCTTCTCCAGAGACACTTCCAGCTCTGCTGGCAGTGCCAAAGGCCCAGCCCGTGACGATGGAGCTCTACTCACTGTGGACTGGACCAGAAGGCAAGAGTCTGCGTCATGGTCCCTGCTCTGCCACAAACCAGCTGTGACACCCTAAGGAAAGCATGATTCAGAAAATACCAATAATAATGACTTAACCATATGTGTAAGCCTCACATAATTAAAAACATCACTTTTGCATGTTTATTTGCTTGTTTTAAATCTCCCAGCCACTCTGTGAAAGCAAAGCTCTGAATGATTAAGCGATTTTTTTTTTCCAAGGATCACCAGCAGGAGAAGAGCATGAAATCCACAACTTCTGCCTTGTGTTTCTGAATGTTCTCCACCAGCGTGGGCTGTCTCTTTCCGTGCACAGTCTCAAGGTGGGACCTCTCTGACCTCACTGGGAACTTGGACCACCTGGGAGTCTGGTTACTACGCAGGCCCCAGTAGGTACAACACTCACTACCAGCTCCCTGGTGACCACAGCTGCTGGTCTGTGGACCTCAGTTTGAAGAACAAGGCATGATGAGTCTCTTACATTCTTTTCAAATAATAGTATTACATAAATCAGCATTTTCACCCAAGTCCAAATTATAATATATGTCACTTATCTATAGAACATACTAGACCCTACAGTGCATATATCAGTGGATAAAGGCTAATGACTGACCACAGATGACTCCATAGTCCTTTGGCACAGTTTCAAACAACGATGTTAAAATATAAAGCCAGACACACATCTATGGAAGAAGTCCTCCAAAGGTAAGAGTGCCTATTTCAGGGCTAGCTTGGTCCTGACTGTATTTAGCTGGGGAGGCAGGGACTGTACCTAAGGAAATTCATGAAGGAAGGAATTCATTCCAGACAGGGGTCACAACCTAGGTAGGGGAGGTAAAGGAAATAGGAATGAGTCAAATGTCTTCAGGCTACTGAACAGACTCACTTGGGAAGAATGTATAATTTACGCGAGAGATAAGAGTCGAAATGCAACTCTGGGCCAGATTTTCACAGCCTGCAGATGCCAGGTTAATTTAGACCATTCATTATCTGCTCACATTCAGGCGTGGTGCCATGGCCGGCTCCCGAGCAGAGGAGGGGTGTGGCGGGGTGACGTCAGAGGGAGACAATCAGAGCCTTTAAAAGGCCAAGGGCACACTGGGGAGGATGGAAAGTCACCGGGATGAAAGCTAACAGGTACCGATGCCAGAGACGGTGTGAAGGGGAAGTGATAGGTTGAAGACACCGGCTGCATCCTTACAGGAAGCAGTGGAAGGATTTGCGGCCGCGAGTCTCTCGGGTGTCAGGTCCACGATGGCAAGGTGACTGTACCACTAGTGAAATGGAGGGGAGCTTGGAAACCTGGTGCCTTGATACCATTTCCCCCAGATAAACAACCACAACTGCCCAACCAACTTTATATTCCGGCGTGGCCCAAGGAAGAAGGATTCCTTGAGGTCACGCTGCTCTCTAGTTTCCTGACTATTAATTAATAATCTGTGTATTATCTGGTTTTTTTTTTGTTTTTGGTTTTTTGGTTTTTCGGTTTTTCGAGACAGGGTTTCTCTGTTGTGCCTTTCCTGGATCTCGCTCTGTAGACCAGGCTGGCCTCGAACTCACAAAGATCCATCTGGCTCTGCCTCCCTAGTGCTGGGATTAAAGGCGTGCGCCACCACCGCCCCGCCTGTCTATTATCTGTAAAGATGGCTCCTGGGCTTACCACCGGCTTCCTAGGAAGGAGGAGACACAGGGACTTCTGTTCACCATAGCAACTGTCCCTGAGAGCACCTCACAGCACAGGAGGAGCAGGGAGGGAAACTGACGTGCTCGATCAGAGCCAAGGAAGTGCTCTGTGAGGCTCTGATCCTGAGGGTGGTACCATGAATTCTGGCTTTCCGCTCTCCACCAGCACGTTCCTGTCTTTCTGGAGGCCAGCATCGAATTCTGACTTCACATCGACCCACTATGCTCCTCTGGAGGCTCCCTTGCTGGAATCTTAAACCCAACTCACAAATCTACTGGCTCCATGGCCTTGTGGAGGCCCAGGCGTCCTTAGAATAGCACAGTTATTTGTAGCCAAGGCAGACCTTTGTACACCCTTGGCATCGTCTTCTAGGGTGAGCTCGTGGGAGCCTGGGAGGAAGAAGCCCAGACACGCCTGTGACTTTCCCTCCACGCATCAATCTGTCCCATTGTCTTTTTGAGTACTCCGACCTCAGGCCACAATTGTAAGGTGTTTTGGAAAGTTTGGAGTTGTATTCATAGCTCTTGCAGGATGGACAGAGATGCTTTAATTAAAACAAAAGCAACAATGGCAAAAGGTATTTTGGGAAGGGGGCGTGTGTGTGTGTGTGTGTGTGTGTGTGTGTGTGTGTGTGTGTTAAGCCAAGCATCTTCATCAAATTCCAGCTCGCATAGCTGCATATGAAGATTTTTTTTTTCTCTTCTCATTTCTGATCCTGGATAGATAATTAAGAATCTGGGAATACCCACTCTATTCAGAGCACAATATAGGCCTGTCATCCATTAGGGTTCAAAACAAGCTGCTGATTCCATCAGGCCAATAAAGTGTGGCCATTCCCCTTGTTAACAGCCATCTGTTAGTATAGATAGGCTCTGTGTTGATTCGACAGTGGTGTGTGGTGGCATGATTTAGCACAAATTTGCAATTGACTACCAGATGAAGTGGGTCTATGACACAAAGCCACCAAGAAAAGAGTATCTGGGTCCCCTACTTTTCTGGCTTCCTGGAAAGGCTGTCAGGAGGGCTGTCTCCCTCTGGCACAGCTCGGTAAGAGACGAATTCTCAGGATAGCTCCGATTCTATGTGGCTAGATAAATAAACCTAACCTTTATTTTCTATCACCCTTCTCAATCACTTCTATATCAACCGGGAAGCCTGATACAGGAGCCAGGGCAAGAGTTATCTCAGAAGCCTCTTCAATCACTGGCTTGTCATTGAAAAGTAGGTTAACTGCTTCAAAACAACTGATTGTTTCAACCACAGCCCGCATGAGGAAGAGACCCCAAACCGAGTAAATGCCCCACGCTTGCCTAAGAACAAACCCACAAAAGGAGGATGGGGCTCCAGGGGAAACCAGATGGGTTCTAATTGCCGCCTGGAGCTCCTCGGCAAGATCTTTTTGGCTTAGACTTTTATTTGTAAAAAGTCTCTTATCTGTTGAACCAGCTGAGTTCTTTGAAATGTCACTTCCTTTTGGCATCCCCAAGGAGGACCAGAGCAGAGTCTACTGACTGTGTCCAAACACACACTGAAGTGGAGAATCTAGGGAAGGCGCTGGTTGACTTGGCCCCGAAAGACCCCTTTCGGGAATCTACAGTCTATTTCAGATATGTTCGCCTTTCAGTAAATGGAGTAAAACGGACAGAGACTAAACAATCCCTGTTGCTTCAAGCTTTGCACTTACAGTTTTGGACAGTGTCCTAAGTCTTACAAAACGTTAGATTCACTATAAATGATTGATTTCTCTTTGGGGGCAGTGTCCTTGTTCTCATATGTGAGTGCAATCCATGCGTGCCCTGGCTTGCCCGTGGAGATGAGAGAACAGCCTCCCGTGACAGTCTTCCATGAGAGACACCTTGTCTGAGGTGGTGTCACTTGCTGTTCAATCACTTCAGAAACTAGGCTACCTGGCTCGCAGGCTTCGGGGATTTTTCCGCCTCTGCCTCCCATATCCCCTTTGGAATGCTGGGATTAAAGATGCATGTTATCTGTGTCTGGCTTTGCACAGATTGGAGGGACCCAGACTTAGTCCTTAATCCTTGTGAGGCATCGAACCATTCCCTTGCCTGGATTCATTCCATTTTGTGTGGTTAGAATACCATTGGAAGGTTTCACAGATTTGTATATGCATCCTGAAAGCTAAATCCTAAATCTATTGTCACCAAAGCACCAACTATTCATGTCTTTATCTTCAGAAACATGGTGTGAAATGTCAGGCTGGTGTGACTCTGCTCCTAATTGGTGTTTCCCCCTCTCACAGCTCACAGTGAGTGCATCACAGAAGCGCCAACGATAAACCATATTGTTATTTCTTTAAATGAAAAATTTTTATTGAGATAGCCAGGCAGATGCAATCCCAGCCTTTGGAAGGTTGAGGCAGGAGGATCACTTCAACTCTGAGGTTAACCTGGTCTACAGAGCCAACCTTGGGCCAGCCGGGACTACATAGCAAGATCCTGTCTCAAAAACAAACTCCAGACAAACAAGAAATTTTAATATAATATTTTTCATGTCTTCTTTGAAAATCCCATATATGTATACAATGTAGTTTTCTAAAGTTTATTACATTTTTAAAATTTATTTATTTATTTTTTCTTGCGTCTGTGCGTGAAAGACAGCTCTAGTTAGTAAGTTTGAATTCTAGTTCTTCCTCCATGCTATATTATTTATTCATTTGTTTACCTATTGGTGTTTAGGAGATAGGATTGGCATTGCTCAGTTAGTTGGTCCCTGTCCTCCTGGGCCCAAGTGATCTTTCGGCCTCAGCCTCTGGAATTTCGGGGACTACAGAGGCACATAGCTCTATACCCATCCTTGATTTGCTATGAAGCATGCAACATTCTTGTGTAATTTCCATTCGGGTCCCTCTTTTCATATGAGTGGGGAAATGAAATGCAGGACATTATTGCCAAAGTTGCATGCTAGTAGATGTTCAAACTAAGATACAAAGCCTGCTGTCTGCGTGTGATCTCAGCCAAAGGCAGAGGAGTGAGACCAGGTCTGTCTTCCCCCAGGCATGTGTTTTTCCACAGCAGACATATCCACTACAAGCATCCAGGGACGGCAATGTGCTGGCTCTGACAGTCAGTATGTTTTTCTCAAATCACTCTTCTGCTGCTTCCTACTCAAAGCACAATTGCTCTTTGTTGGCTTGCTCCCTGGTTGTGCCTGCCGATAGGGGGCGCTGGTGAGCAAGCACTTGCTCTTTTCCATTTGATTCTCCAGTCACCGGAAATGGCCCTCTCGATAGCGGCGGATCCTTCCAGTAGCAGTAATTTGTTTCGGTTTGCATGTTGTCCATCACTCCAAACCAGCCTAACTGCAGCCCTGTGTGAGACAGGTACCATCTGGACCTAGCCCCTCCTCTGAGATCTGCCTCCCTTCTGAGCCCCAAGAGGCAAACAGCCTCTTACATCTTCCTGCCCTACACCTAATGCTCCCCGACTTTAAATAATCAGCCATTCCCTTCATTTCTCAAGACCTAATGGTAATCACCATTTCCTGAAGTCACAAGTTCTATGGCAGCTTAATGGTTTTCCTGGCTCTCCGGTACTAGGCAAAGAACTCTTTACATTACTGCTCTAGTTTCTGTATCTTGACTGGACCCTGGCTGATACAAGTAGTGAGCTTTTAATACTGAAGTTTATGTGTAAGACTGCCAACAGTGTATCCAGTGTTCTATACTGGACCTGTGGTATTATTAAATGAAAAAGGGGGAAATTTATCATTAAGACAAGATGGCTGTGTACTGATCTGATACTTCAGGGTCTTCCTGACGTTGTCCGTGATGCCCACTCACAGCTGTGACTTCCCAGTGAAAGGAACCTTCATCTACCTTACCATTTAATACCTCTGTAGCTGGAGTTATCTCCAGTCCCGCCTGGGCCGGCAGCCACTCAGACTCAAATAAACACACAGACACTTATATAACTTATAAACTGCATGGCTGTGGCAGGCTTCTTGCTATCTGTTCTTACATCTGAAATTAACCCATTTCTATTCATCTGTAAGTTGCCACGTGGCTTGTGGCTGACCGGTACTTTTACATCTCACTTCCTCTGTGTCTGGCTGCTGCCTCCTGACTCAGCCTTCCTGTTCCCACAATTCTCTTCTCTGCTTGTCCCACCTATACTTCCTGCCTGACCTCTGGTCAATCAGCATTTTATTTACCAACCAATCAGAGCAACACCTTCACAGCACACAGAACGTATCCACAGCACTTCCCCTTTTCTTTTTTTTTCCAAAAAGAAAAGTTTTAACTTTAACATATAAAAATTACATATAACAAATTATCAAGCAAGAATTACAGTTACGATATACCTTAGATTCCCAATCTATGAAATTAGACATGTGTATGAGTTAATATGTAAATTACTTCCTAGAGTCATTAAAAGTCATTTCTATTGGATAGAAAAGGAAATTTCAAAGATTACTATTACTCTGTTTTTAATTAAATTAAAACTATTCACTTCTTAGACATTTTAAGTTTGCTAATAGAACACATAGTGCTGGTAACTCATATATACCTTCTCTTCTCTTTATTCCCACAGTTTCCCTGTCTTAGCCTGGTATATTTCTTATAATTGATGAATACTAATACATTTTTATTAACTAATACCCACAGTTTATGATGGAGTATTTATTGACTTTGTGAATGCAGTTTATGATGGAGTATTCATCAACTCTGTGTGTGTGCATGCACACACGTGGCAAATGCATGTATAGGAGTGTGTGTGTCACTGCAGACATATGGAGATCAGAGTACAATTCTCAAGAGCTGTTTTTCACCTTCCTCCATATGGTTCCAAGATAGAACTTGGGTCATTAGGCTTGGTGACAAGGACATTTACCTGCTTGCTAAGGCATTTCTCCAGCCCAAGTCCATTCTTTTTATTGTAGAGTTTTATGATGTTAGCATACACACGTAAGCATTGTATAGAGTGGTTCCACAGCCCTGAAGAATCCCTGTGATTCATGGACTCCTATCACCTCCACCCTGAACTCCTGGCAATCGCTGATCTTTTTACTGTTATTCTAGTTCTGCCTTTCCTATGATGTCATATAGTTGAAATTGAGGTATGTAGTTTTTTTAGATGGGCTTCTCTTACTTGGCAATATGCACTTGAGAATCTCCCGTCTCAGCAGACCTGAGCTCGTGGGAGCTCACAGACTTGGATTTACAGCTAGGGGGCCTCCATGGGACCAACTTTGGCCCTCTGCATGTGGGTGACAGTTGTGTAGCTTGGTCTGTTTGTGGGGCCCCTAGCAGTGGGATCAGGACCTGTGCCTGGTACATGAACTGGCTCTTTGGAACCTACTCCCTCCCACCACCCCCCACCCTCCCCACTCCCCTCCCTGCCTTCTGGCATGCCTCGCTCAGCCTTGATGGCAGGGGGGGGGGACACTTGATATGCCATGCTTTGTTGATTGCCATGGGAGGCCTGCCCCTTTCAGAATGGAGGAGGAGTAGACTAGGGGTAGGGAGGTGGGGAGAGGGAAGGGGAGGAGAGGAGAGAGGGGAAACTGTGGTTGGTATGTAAGATAAATGAAAAAAATTTAATAAAAAAGAATCTCCCGTCCCAGGTCTGGGGGTGTAGCGAACGAACTGTAGACACACTTGTCTAGTGTGTTTGAGGTCCTGGGTTTGATTCCCAGCCCTGCAAAAATGAATACATAAGTCTTCTACCTCTGGGTATGCCTTTGTAGCTTATTTCTTTCTCAAGTTGAGTTTTATTTCATGGTTTGGACAAACCCCAGTTTAGCCATTTAACTCTCAAGCGATGTATTGATTACATGCAGGCTTCGCCTCTCCTAAAGGTATCATCGGCTTTCGTGTGCAGGGTTTCCTATGGGTATATATTTTCATCTCACATAGGTAAACAGGGCTGGAATGTAGCTCGATGTAAGACTGTTTGCCTTGCATGTAGAAGGCCCTGGGTTTGATCCCTGGCACCACTTAGGCTCACTCTCCGTGTTTACCTAGGAGCATAATTGCTGGGTTGTGTGGTGAGAGCATGTTTAGCTTTGAAGGGTGTGGAGGTCTGGGTGAGAATGGTCCCCACAGGCTCGTGTATTGGAATATCCAGTTCCAGTTGCTGGACTGTTAAAAATTAGGAGCAGTGGCTTTGTTGGAGGAGGTGTGTCCCTGGGGTGGGCTTTGAGGTTTCAAAAGCCCACAGCAGGCCCAGTCTCTCTCCCTCTTTGCCCCCATCTCTTTGCCTCCCGCCTGCAGATCGGGAGGATATAAGCTCTCAGCTCCCGCCCTGGGCACCCTGCCTGCCGCAATGCTCCCCACCATGATGCTCACAGACTCACCCTCCAAACTGAAAACGAGTCCCCGTTAAATGTTTCCTTTTCCATCGGCTTTGGTCCTGATGCTGTGTCCCAGCAACAGAACACTAACCAAGACAGAGGGGATTGCTAACTGGTGCTAAAGTGGCTGTACCATCTGACTTCCGTCAATTACTTGTTTTTTGTCTTTTTAAATCTAATGTCATAGTATTGGACTTGGGTTGTTGTAGCCTCACATGAAGTCAGGGATTCAGTCCCCAGCACTTTATAAACCAGGTGTGGTGGCACATACCCAGGGAGGTAAAGACCAAAGGATCAAAAATGCAAAGTCATCTTTGGCTATGTAGGGAGTTCTAGGCCAGCCTGGAATACCTGAGACCTGTGTTAAATAATACAAATACTGATACTAATGATGATGATACACCAATCTGACTGGAGCAACCTAGATTCATTCTTCCAGTGTGTGTGTGTGTGTGTGTGTGTGTGTGTGTGTGTGTGTACTCAATCTCTTAAATTTTCCTGGGAAGCACACCATTAATCCCAGCACTCAGGACGCAGAGGCACTTGGATCTCTGTGAATTTTAGTCCAGCCTGATCTACATAGCAAGTTGTAGGACAGCCAGAGCTACATAAGAGAGGCTTTGTCCCAAATATATGCACACACACATATATAATTCTTTGACAAATCTAGTCCACCATTTTTACCACATGAAAGATGAAAACCTTTTCTCTTTTCTGTAATTCCAGTGATGCCTTCACGGTGGCCCTGAGATTTCCAAAAAGTCAACTCACTCACATGCTGGCTCAGCACCCCTTTTAAATGCTAATATTTTACAATTGCAAAAGAGAACCCAGGGAACATTCCAGTAAAGTGACCAGCAGACTCATTTAGAAAACATTTCAACATGGAAGCCAATCACTGGATAAATGCTAAATCACCCTGGCACGAATCCAGTAAAAGTAAAACTTCAAGCCACACCCTCTTTTGTTATATAGTTAAATAAATGTAATGGCCACAGTTGCAAAAGACTGAACTCATCCCTGTGTCTTGGGCTTATCTCCAAGAAATAAGATCCTCTCTGGAATTGAGGCCCACAGTCCGAATTCTGACACTGCCCAGAACTCGCATGGGCAGGGCAGAGGGAGTGGAATTACCATCGGGTAGGATGGAGTGCATGGTTTGAATGTCAAGGGCATTCCTGGGCTCACTGTAAACCTCCTTCTGAGTCTTGCCTTTTCTAGGTTGTTGAACTGAAGCCTGTTTCTCTGGAGTCCTAAGTTATTCCAGACCACAGATAGAATGATTTGCTCTTCCCACCCCCTTAAAGGTGGAGTCACAGGACAGATGGCTGGCATTGCGCGCGCGCACACACACACACACACACACACACACACACAGAGTCGACTAACATACAGGTCCCAACATAAACACTGCTTCTCAAAACGGTTCCAAGGCTTTTAAAGGCACTTTGGTGCTAAAACTTTTTTGGGGTGGGGGGTGGGGGTCAGATTGTGTCAGCTACAGTCTTGCTCCTTTTTCGTGATTAAAAAGAAAAGAAGGATTTCGGGGATGTGGCTCCGTGGCACGGTGCTTACCTAACATGTACAAGGCTTGAAGTTTGGTCTCTGGCACAGAGAAGGAGAGAGAGAGAGAGAGAGAGAGAGAGAGAGAGAGAGAGAGAGAGAGAGAGAATGCATACTCACTTCTTCCTTCGGCTCTGTGAAGTTCCAAAAAAATAACAGGGATCCCTCAGCTTGCCTCATTGGTGGAAAGGCCTGGTTGGAACATTCCTTTGGTCACTTTAGCTGAAAACTGCATACCTAGGAGACTAAAGCATCCCTGCTCCAGTCTCCTGTCTCAGAACTGACTGAGAATTGTCTACAAAGATAGGAAGACTCTGTGCAAAAACCCCCCAGAGAAAACAGCACCAAAACCACACCTGACCCCACATGGAGGTCGCCTTTCCGAAGCCAAAACATGATGGGCTTCCGGGTTGGTAGCATCCCTCGGGAGGTCTGTCCATTTTTTCCCTCAGTCACACTCAAGAACACCTAGAGTATCCCTTTGGCTATGAAACAGGACAGTTGTCATCATGACACACCATAGGGACCCTCTCCGTCCAGGCTTCTACCCCTGCCCCTGGAGAAGCCTCTCTAGGGAAAATGGAAAAACTGAACCACCCGTTTCTGTCCAGGACACTTTCGCTCCTGGCCCTTTTTTTTTTTTTCCCTGCATCAGCTTGTACTTAATGGGTTGTTTTATTTGGCAATGACCAAGCGAGGAAACCAAGGATATTAATAATGATCATCGACATTTGAACTTCCTGGGTACGATGTGTACTTTGTACCCAAGCGCTGAATAGGATTTTTAAAAAGGGATTATTTTGTACACGCACAGATGAGACTAAAAAATCGTCACAGACTTAAATAATCCGTTTTCCTTTGTCCCAGAAAAACATATTTTTTTTTGTCTTTGTGCCATTTGAACCAACTCTGCTTTCTTTTTTCCGTAGCGTTCGCCCTTGGGAACGTTCGAGGTCACGAAGTAACGTTATTTATGCCAGCTGCAACCCTTGCCACAAAGCTTGAGGCATCCTAATTACAAACACAACGGCAGGGAGCCAGAGCAATTCGGTGATTTTCCATCAATAAAATGGTTTCCACCAGCAAAATGCCACGGGGACTGATAGGGCTGCCTGGTGACTCAAATGCCATTATAAATCCGATTGTTTTTCTGGCTTTGCAATGAAAGGCTGTGTGGATTGTTGATATAGCCGCTCTTTGTAGTTTCTATGACATCCTTCCTTTGTTAGAAGGGGAAACCAAGGAAGGCTGTAGGCCCTGAGAAAACAGAGACCTTGGTATGGGTTCAATTCAGCAATTCTCAACCTGTGGGTCGCGACCCCCCTCGCGGGGTTGTATGCCAAAGATTTACATTACAATTCATAACCATAGCAAAATTATAGTTATGAAGTCGCCATGAGATAATCTCATGGTTGCGGGTCACCACCACATGAAGAACTGTATTAAAGAGTCACAGCATTAGGAAGGTTGAGAACCACTGCTTTTTCTTGATTGTGGAGTTCAAGTCCTGGGGCATCAGAAACCTACCACAAATATTTCCTGGACATATTAAAATCTGCCCACAAGACAATTTATCAGGAAAGGAATCCCTGAGGTGGGGAGCCGATGTCCACATTTTTTGCATGGGATGGTCTACATTTCTGAGAAGAACTCAACCATGCGTGCTTCTGAGAAGTGAGCTGACGGCGTGTGGGTGAAGGCGCGCTGCTTCCCTGAGACTCCATTGCTTCAAATAGCTTCAGTCCCATGCCCTGACACTTCTCACAAACCAAAGGGGGCACTGTACCCTTAGAGGGGGGTATCCCCAAAGAGAACTTTCAGTGTCCGTGGTGTGTATGATAAACACAGTCAGTGCCAATCCCCAGAAAAAGCGTTTCATGTCTCTGCCCTTGAAGCCTTGAAGCCTCTTCCCGAGTCACTCAACCTTTTCAGTAGCCTGATGCACCCCATCACTCTTCAGGAATCCTGAAATGCCTTATTAGTAGTGACCAGGAAGAGCGAATCTAGACCCCCACCCTCCCTCCAAAGAAAATCCAAAGGTGAGCTGAGACGCAGCTAGGAAAATGTTTAGGTCCTTAACTTACCTAATTCATCCCTAAAACCTCCTTCGGACTCTTTACCTTCTTTGTCTTCTTATTTGGCTACAAAGTATGATATCTATACAGAGTATAATTTGTTGAAGCAGAAATCATTGTTAAGAAAGTTTTCACTGTTGCATCAGCAAGGAAGAGCCGCTGGGATCATGTTAGTTTGTTTCTTCCTAGTTATTTTTCTGTGCTGAAGTTTCAGTATGCTGTAATTATATTCATTATAAATTATGTTGTATTATAATGTGAGGTGAGCCATCATACTCACTATAAACACTTCACATACAGAAATTAATAAAGGATAAACATTTCCTAGAATCTGAGACAGGTTGATATGTATTAATCAATTGTATACACTATCTTGATATATGGTACCTATGTGTCGGTTATATATTTATTACATATTAGATATACTTGTTTGATTTTTTTACCAAATGGTTTGTATTATTCACTCTAGTCTATAATTTCTTTTTACAATATGACAATATACCTAGACATCTTTTCAAGTTCAGCCATGTATGATGACTCTGCTCTCAAAATGACTACACAGCACCTCCCTGTACGACACCTTTTAAAATGTGAACCCTGCTGGAAGTAAAGACTTGTTCTTCCTAGTTTTTTGCTATTTTAAAGGATGCATCCTTGGGTATTTGTCTTTGCATACCTATTTGGGAAGCAGACCTACTAGATCTAAGATTTGAGCATGCGTGTTTTCACATAAGCATGGTTACATCGCATTTAACTATGCATATGGTCACATCGCAGGTCTTAGCTATGGCTAGCTCAGTGACAAAATGACTGTCAAGTATGTACCGGACCTTGGGTTTGACCCTCAACATCACAATCAACCAGTCATCAATGACAGTAAGGAGGAGAGGGGATGTGTCACTCGGGACAAGAGAATGCTTCCAGATTAAACCATTTCATTGGTTCACAGTCTGGTCGCCCAGGCCTGTGAGCCTAGTAGGGTGCACAAGAGGCTCAGGCAGGAAGATTACAAGTTCAAGACCTGCCTAGTTTGAAGAGTAAATGCTAAGCTAGCCTGAACAAGTTAATGAGAACCTGTATCAAAATAACTTTAAAAACAATTTTAAAGACTGAATATTTCTCAGTGGTAGAGTGCTTGCCTAGTATACATTCAATCCTCCTACTACAAAAATAAATAAGTAAAATAAATGAGTTTAAAAGCAGTTAATCTAGGAAAAGACAGCGTTTTCTGAGCACAGTGTCTGGGGCCTGCTTTCTCATCTTCTTATTTAAATATACAATGGTCCAGGACAAATGACAGCTGTCATAGCTCCATATATCAAATAACCTTCTAGTTAACATGAGCATTTACACGTGTGTCTTAAAGCTGCATTAGCTCACACCTCAGTCAAGAACACAGATCACCCTTGCATCAAAAACTTGTTTTCAAGAACAAACAGTCACACCGGACTGGGAAACCCTGGGAGCGTTTTTTATCGTTTGTTTTATGTAAAGATTAATGGTTTCAGGTCTATGATTATCAAAAATGGAAGCGGAGACTCCTTGTCCTAATAGAGTCGAATTGCTGAAGGGATTAGGGTACCCTGCCGGCCACCGTGAAGAGTTCAGCTGCCATGAACTGAAGAACACGGAAGCATGTGGCGCCAGGCGGCGTTGTAACGGGCCTGACCCCATCTGGGTTTGTTCTCGGGTGTTCAGTTCTTTTGCTCTGTAGCCAGGGATGCCGACCACCGCAGGCCATTCCCTCTGCCTCTTCCAGGAGACCTGGCCAAGGTCAGGCACCGTCGTGTGTCTGGAGGACGGTGGGAGAAGACAGGGCGTTCCTCCCTCTTTTCTGCCACAGCTGGGTTCTCGGCTGTCACAGCGTCTTCACTGAGGTTCCCGCTTCCATCGGAGAAGCCCACGCTGCTGGTTCTTGCTCCCACTGGCCCCTGGCTTTGCTCTGATCACCTCTGGCCCCGCATCCTAAGGTGGAAATGCCTTCCTGCGGCTCCTTCTGTTTGCGGTGCTGCGACGTCATGTCACATCATGTCACCTTCACTAAAGTCCCTCTTTCCTAATACTTCTTTTCCTTGTTAGATATACAGCCTGAGCTACGGGTCTAGGTGGTAGGGTTCAGAGTCAGGTCCCGTCTGTCTTGGGGCAGGAGGGCGGGGCAAGCACAGGGAAGGCGGGACCGAAGTCATGAGTAGGGCCATTGGCTCATGTCTTAGGACTCATCGTACACAAGCAAGGCTTTGTGGCTCGTACTTGTAATAGCTGCACTAGAGGCTGGTGCAAGAGGATAGTGAGCTTGAGGGCAGCCTGGACTACATAGTGAGTTCTAGGCCAGCCTGAGCTATAATGTGGGAGCTTGGGGAAAAAAAAGAGAGAGAGAAAGGCAGAGGGAGGGAGAGAGAGAGATGTATATAGAAGCTTGTTATCATCTCATAGGACAAAAGAGCACAGAGGTATGATACCTTCTGGAAGCCATATCAGTGTAATGAACAGCATATAGTAACTTATTAATAAACACCTACCAATTAAATGTGCATAGTTTGTCAGGAAAACCATTTGATTAGATTTAAGAGAAAGAATTTGAAGTAGATTGTTTTTTACACTGTCTATGAATTTTTCTGCTATGAAAAGGAAATGAAAGTGGTCCCCCCCCCCCCAAAGCCATTTAACCGTATTGTTTGGCACACCGTTTTTAAAATTAAAAATCAACCCAGGACCTCAAACATACTAGGCAAACTTATTACCTACTAAACTACAGGCCCAGGCACCGCTCTCTGCAATCTTCTTGGACTGAATAATGTCTTCTTGCAACTAAGTCAGATGTTTAAGACTAGAAAGCCAGGCCTATGAAATAAAGTCAGAGGTGGTGGCGCAGACCTGTGTATTCAGCTCGTAGGAGGTGGAAGCTGGATGAGCATTGGTTCAATGATGGCCTGTGAGGCACAGTAAGGAAAATGCAAACCAGATCCACAGAGAAATAGCTCAGGTATCTGAATTCTATAACAGAAAAAGTAGGGAATAGAGGGAAAATATCGGTACAGAGTACTCATATGCTGCTTGTAGGAACGGCATAGTACAAATACATTGAAATAGAGTGTGGTAGAGTCTGAGGAAACCAGACGTACCCACTCCTCCTGGTGCTGAGACATTGCATCCAAGGGCAAGCCATAGAAATGTGTTCTTGTGGTCACCAAAAGATGTACATACCATGTCCACACCAGAACATAGTAGCCCCAAACCTGGAAACTACTCTGGTTCCCATAAACTAGAAAACATAAATACATTATCATATATTCATGGGGAGGAACGCTTTACAAAAATGAGATTGAATGATTCCAAAACCCCACGCAGCAAGTGGCTGGATCTGAAAACAAGTCTGGGTGAAGGAAAATGCTATCCTGTTGCATTATGAAGATACCCTGCTGACCCTGAACCCCCTACTAGATAATCCCATTGATTTTCATTTCAAATGCATAAAAAATTAATTTGTTTGTAGTTGGCTATGGTGGCACATGTGTGTAATCCATGTATTCAGAGGCTAGGGCAGGAAGGTTGAGAGTTCTAGGCTGGCCTAGGCTACACAGCAAGCCCTCGCCTCAAACTGACAAAAATGAATTTGTTATGCTTTATAGCTGTGGACCTTCAGAGGAACAGAGGTCTGCTTCCATGGCATGATGGTCTAGATCTTAAATGTGCCGCCTTATATGTCTTGTTTGGAAGGCTTAAGGCCCTGGTGTATGGAGGGAGTGGGACCTTTGTGCAGTGAGACCTGGTGGGAAGAAGTTGGTCAAGGCCTGCCTGGTGGGGCACACCTTTAACCCAGTATCAGGAAGCAGAGCAGAAGGCTCTCAAGCGGAGCAGCCTGGTCTACAGAGCAAGCTCCAGTGATGAGAACAGAGATTGAGGCCGGTCAGCGAGGGTAGGGGCCCCAAAGCAGCAGATCTGAGAATCCCCTAGCCAGAGGCCAGGAATGTCAGAAGAGTCCTGGTTTCCCCTCCCTCTATCTCCTCCCTGAG